TCTGTGGTGGGTATAAGTCACAGGTTCACAACTATTGCTGTCTTCTAGGATATTAAAAGGGAAGTCAACACATTTTGTTTAAAAAAAAACAACAGTTTCAAGGGTGACCATTGTGATATTTCTGGCGTCTGTGACTCGCGTGAATGTTGAAATAAGTGGTCAGTATCTTGTTTGTTTATTTTGTTGTTTGTGTCTTTGTCAAATATAAGACCACAGTATGAATGTGTAGAAAAAAAAAAAAAAAAAGTTCCAGAGTCTAAAAAAGTTCCAGAATTTTCCATTGACAATAAAACAAAGAGGTGTGGTGTGTGTCAAAATTTCCTGAGAGAATGGACACAGAGGCGCAGCGTGTCATGTTACAAAAGTGCGAGCAGGAAAGTTTTAAACCGGTAAAGGAGCAAGCTGAAGTTGTGGGACAAGCACTAGCGATGTTGGAATATAATAAAAAGCTAAAAAAAAAAAGCTCTCGTGAAAACATTACAAAAAATAGAAAATAATGCTCAAGAAGGACAGGATGTAATATCTTTAATGTGGGAAAAGATTAAGGAATGCTCGAGAGATGAGGATAAGTTTGACAAGCAAAAAAGAGAGGCAAACGCCCTGCAGAAAGGTAAATACAGAAAGTTAATGAGGGAGGTTAAATATGAAAGAAAAGAGTGGTTGAAATTGGTCTTTGTGGCATAGGGTTCGTCCCATTTGTTGAAAAAACAGCAACTTATAGCGCAGCCTAAAACAAAGAGTGAGGAAGTGGGTAGTTCAGCTCCCCCTCCTTATAACTCAAGCAGCAATCAGTCAGCACATCCCCCACAGGAATGTACCCTATATATCACATAACAGATGGAAGGTTACAGGTGGGGGAGGTCACTGACACCCCCTCGCAGCTGAGGGAGGAGTCACCCATCCCAGTTAAAACAAAACCCCTTGTAGCACGAGAAATGAAACCGTGATTTAATTATTTTTTCTTCTCTGCAGCTGGAGATGACAGAACTTTGGAGTGGGAAGATGAGTCTGATTAGGCCCACAAAACATAGAAGGTAGCATTTAACTGCATACAGCATCCATCTGAGTTTTGATCAGGACTCTCGAGTGCCGGGGGCCGGATCAGATACAAATGTGTTCAGGTGGGCGCTGACGTTGGGTCTGTGAAACTGACCAATGGGACGGTTCAAATAAGTTGTCAGTCGAACACAACTGACACAGCAACAAAGAACTTTTCAGCCAAGTAACGTGACTTTTCAAAGATCTAACAGTCCAAGAGCGAACTGAACTAACTGTCCAGAGGGGGTCCTGGAGTTTGTCCACAGCGAGAACATCCAGTCAAGTCTTGCTGTATGCTGAGATATGAACTGTTGCACAAAGCTGAACTGGTCTCCAGACAGACGGTGACGAGTCTGGGGACTGAAAGGCTGAAAGAAGAACTGGTGGTCACTCTGTCCAGGGTCACTAACATCAACTGCAGCCTGACGGAGGTGTCAACCCCACATTTGGTCTGTGATGGTCATCTAGGCACTTTGGGGTTCGTGATCAAAAACTGCAGCTGGCTTTGATAATGATCACTCACATTGACTCATTTTAAAACAAGTGGTACAAGCAGACACTATATACCTGATTATAGTGAACTCACCACTCCACTCAGACAGATGGTAAAAGATCAAGGTAACAGAAACCTGAAAGCAACACTTGTGTGGAACACAGATGCAGAACATGTGTTTATTAAACTGAAGCAACTCTTGTCCAGAGCAGCTGATTTGGCTCTGCCTGACTACTCCGCCCCGTTTTTTCTTGATGTTTCTGAAGCAGAAAACACTGTTAATGGTGTTCTGTTTCAGAAAAATGGGGGTGGTAGACAGGTGTTGATGTACGCAAGTGTGCTGTTGGATGGTACTGAGAAGCGTCATCCAACATGTACACAGGCAGCGGCAGGTCTGGCAAGGATTGTTTCAAAAACAGCACACATCGTCATGGGACACCCACTACACATCCTAACGACACACAACATAGTAGCGTATGTTAATTCTGAGCTCTTTACAATGACATCCTTAAAGCAAAGACGCATGAGCAACATCCTATCAGAACCGAATTTATTGTTCCTGCATGAAGGCATAAACATGGCAAATGGTATGCAAACAACACAGGCACATGATTGTGTGCAAAAAGTGTACGTGGAGGAACGCATTAGACCTGATTTACAGACTGAACTCATACCACATTCAAATATACTCTACACAGATGGTTGCTGCTTCAGGCTTGAGGATGGGTCTTTGAGATCAGGATTTGCTGTGGTACAGCAGAATGGTGATGAGTACGAGGTACTGAGCTCAGGGCAGCTAGAAGGTCATCAGTCAGCTCAAAAAGCTGAAATTCAGGCAGTCGTTGAGGCTTTGAAAATGAGCAAAGGAAAAGAGGTTACAGGGTACACAGACTCGGCGTATGCTTATGGTGTAGTTCATGTTCAGTTACCACAGTGGAAAAGAGCAGGTTTTCGAACAGCAGGTAACAAACCAATTAAACATGAGGAACTCATTAAGGATTTAGCTGACAGTTTGATGTTGCCAGCAAAAGTGGCGGTTGTGAAGTGCAAAGGTCATGATGTTACACAATCAGACACAGCGGAAGGAAACAGGCAAGCTGACAGAGCAGCCAAGATAGCTGCTGGCTATTTGCCAAGAGTCCAGATGGTGACAGTGGAAGAGGAATGTCAGAAAGTGAATCATTGGGATGAGAAAAATGTAACAGAGGCTCAGACTACAGCCTCCCCAGAGGAAAAGACATTATGGTTTAACAAAGGAGGTCAGAAAAAAGGGGAGTTTAAAGTATGGACAGGACCGAATCAGAAGTGGATCTTGCCTATGACTTTAAAACAGGCAG